CTATGCCTATCTGTGGCATCTTGGAAGGGAGAAGGGCCCCAAGTTTGCTGCGCCCACATTACTTCTTCATCTTCTTGGGGAGATCTTTTCTTTGTGTTTACATGGACCAACTGATTCCAAGTGGACAGTTTGGCCCTGTTTAAAGTAGAAGAATGGTTAAGGTACCTGCAAACTTTGTGTTCAGCCCTGCTTTTTTATTCAGTTCTGTAATTTACAAGGTTCATTTTGCACCAGAAATTAACCCTCGTTTTGTCTGACCATTTCCATCCTCCTTGAATTCAGTCCTCTGTTCCATTGCAGTTCTGGTTTTATCACTCTGATAAGCCTCCTTTGAGAAGCTTATCTGACAGGCTTCCTTTGAGAGAGAATGAAGGGTCCGGGGAGACTTTTGCTGTGCAAGAAGTTCTTTGCTGCCTGGAGGAGTTAACTTTTTGGATTTTTCTTTCTAGGACACACTAGTACCAGAAGAATGGAAGAAATGGGGAAAAAACAAAGCAAATGCCTTCAGAACAGAAGTGAATAAATAACTGAAAGACCAGAAGAAGGAAGGCAGAAGGAGATTTTTTTTTTATATTGAGTCAAAAGGGTGCCAGTTGTACTTTTTAAAAAATCTGATTTTCATTGTTGTGTTCATGCTACTTGAGTGCGTTTTGTATGAATCCAGAAAATTCTTTCTCCCCTGGATCCTCCCCCCTTTTTCTCCCAGGACATTTGAATTTCCTTTAGAAAAAGAGGAAAAAGAGAATACAATTCTGCCTTTTCCCAGGTGCCCTCTCCTCATCCTAAACGATTTGTGAATAAAGAGGAAAGAATGGTCTTGAATTTTGCTTTTTGGCTGTCTCAGAGGCTCTGATTGGAAGCTGGGCTCACATGAGAGTGAAAAGAGCTTTTTCTGGTGGGTAATTTTGTGAGTCATTGCTGTGTGAAGCTTCCTGTTCTTTCATGTCCTTTCCCAGAGGGACATGTTTATTGGGGGGGGACTTCCCACTCTTGCCTGTCCCTTGTGTGACGCTGTCATCTGCATTTCTCCGCTAATGGCTGTCCTCTCTGACTTCAGGATGGCGCCGGGCTGGGCTGTGCTGAGTTGCTGTGGGCCCTCCGGGCTCAGGCAGAGGAGTACTTGGGGTCCTGGCCCTTGCGGGGAGCCAGCTGCGGTGCTGGGGTGCCCGGCTGTGTCTGACCCTGGCAGGTCTGGTGGGTCCCTTGAGTGGGTTCACTTTCTTTCCAGCCTCTGAAAATAATCTTTTCACTCCAAATATGAGTTTGAGGTTATTTTCTCTGTTCTTCTGTGAAACCAAATGCCAGGAATCTGCTGGTTGCTGCGTAGCCACACTTGAGCTCTAACTTCTCAATTAATTACTGCCTTCAAGACCACTAAGCTGTGTTGAGGCAGCAGACTGAAGCATTATTGAAGGATACCGTGATAGTAAAACCAAAGGCCCAAGTCTCCTGATGAGCAACTTCCACATGGGAAACTTAACAGTTGCTCCCTCCCCTGCGTTCTGTGCGTTGGCTCCTGTTTGTCCCGTGTCAGACTAGTTTCTTTAAAGGCCTTTTGGCAAAGGAACTTTATCAAATGTTTTTTGGAGATCCCAGAAAATGATGTCAGCCAGCAGGCATGTGGATAAAGGGTGTGGGGCTGAATCCTCCAAAGACCTTCACACGTGTGAGACATGACTCCGCTTTATAAAAGCCATCTTGCCTCTTCCCCACTGCAGTTGTTCACACTTAGCTCACTGGTTCTGTTCTTTGTAACAGTTGCCACCCGTTTGTTCATTGTGAACATTATGCTGGACGCCATAGAGGTTTAATGAACCCCTTTAACCACCTCTGCGCGCCTTCAAAAGCCTGATCTCATGCTGCATTCAAGTCCTCTGGGGCTCAAGGAGTTTTAAGCAAGAAATAGTTAAGGCGCTATTTGTAGTATTTTACCCTGGAATTCCTCTTCACCCTGGTGAGTTCTTTTTGAGCCTCATATTTTTTTACTGGTCACTCATCAGCTTTGGTTTATAACTTATTTTTCTACCGATATTTTATGCTAGGGCAGATCCTCCACTTTCCCTGAGGAGTTCTGGCACGTTATCCAAGGAGAGCACAGATGCAAAAAGAAAATCATGGGGTGCTACTGTGATGTATCTTCTCTAAGCTGTGTGTGTTGCTATTGATTTTCTACCTCCTTGGCTACGTGTTAGGAAAAGTTCTTATTTTTTTGGCCTTCTATTCCTCACACATTTTCTGGTTTGCTTTACTAGTTTCTATATTTGATCTCACTGAGTTTGAGCATTTGTTTCCTCATTTTGACACAAACTGAACTTTCAAAGGAGTCGCTTTTATTCCAAATAGCTGCACTCACCCAGCTGTTTAATCATACAGACTTGGGTCTCTCCAAACTGTTCTTGATCGGTCTGTTGATTTTATTTGGAGTATCCCATCTACTGTTTGCATATAGCTTTTATACTGCTTAACAATTTCAAATTTTTTGACATGTTTTCTTAACTACTTTAGGATGCTGCTTCTTTTTTATAATTCCTTTCCTTGGAGCAAGTAAGTCCTAATGGCTTCAAGCATGTTAGTTGTTACAGAACAGGTTACAAACACATTTTGAACCAGGCCTGCTCGGGTTGTTTTTTCTTTTGTGGGTTCTCCGTCCAGCTGCACTGTGAAACAGGATGGCTCATGCTGCCTGTCTGCAGGAGGGTAACAGATCACCCGTTAGTGCACTTGCTGCTGTCACAGCTTCTCTGATGGCCCTCAGTGTCCCCTCATTGCTTCCAATCCTGCTGGGCAGTTAGTAGTATTTTTGTAGCACTAAAATTGTAAAACTTAAACAGAAAGTATGTAATTGATAGGGATTTGGTACAAGTATGAACTTATTTCCATGCATGCTGGAGCCTGCTGTCCTAAAACACGGCCACCTGTGGAAAAATGAGATGGTATCTAGGGCAGACTATCAAGGAATTGTTCGGGTGCAAGGAGGGATGATTTCAGAGGCATTGATATATGTTTGCGTGCTACTGTATTTCCAACCTGGTTCTGAGTTACTGGTGCTGGACCTGCTGCCTTTGTTAGCACAGCTCTGAGTTGTCCTCGGGGCATGTGACCACTGTCTTTCAGTGACATCTTCTGTTCTGGGCTCAGAATCAAGAAACTAACATTTCCACAGACAAAGAGCCATCTTGACCTGCTGTTGGACAGGTTTATTTAGAACAACTTTTATTTCCCACTAATGATGGGAAAGTAACCCCCGTCCTGACGTTATTTACATGTCTGAAGACATCATTATTACACAAACAATAGGAGGATTGTGGTGACAGGAAAGGAAGTGGCTGTGTGAGATCACTGGGTTAATAACTTAATTCTTTGAAAACATTTACTGGTGAAGTGTAGAGCCACTGGATGGCACATGGAGTTAAAACACAGCGACAGCCCAGTCTGATGCACAGGGATCTCCTTTAACTCTTGCAGAGCTGTAGTTTCAGTCTGAACGTCTCGAGGCTGAGCAGTACCTGTAGCTGAGCTTTTCAGAGCTCAGTTTTGCTGCCAGGGCTCTGTATCAAGCAGCTAGGCAGCAGCAGCCCGCAGCAGCGTTTCTAATGGGTGGTAGACATGTGGATTCATGTCTTACCTCCCCCTGATCTGAGCTGTGTGGGTGGTTGTGCCATCAGCATCTATTTAGAGGAGGGTGTAATCAATTTACTGAGTTGCCTAAAGGTGCCTTTTGGTGGCCTCATGTTTATTCATCAGGCCCTCAAACAGAATGATGACTTGGCAGAAATTTTGCTGCTCTTTGTGATTTGAGAGCCCTAATTAGCAGGCAGTATGTCTCCAGGATTACAAGTGTACTGGTTGGTTTTGGTCTTTGTACGTAAAGCAGCCTGAGGTTAAACCATGGAGGTATTTTTTTTTCTGATTCAGTACACAGACCAGTACTTAAAGAGGGGAGTTAAATTGTAAAGACTGAAGTAAGTTAAGCAGTGCATCAGAACTGCATTCCTTTGAACAGAGCTGAGGTGTGTGCATTAGTTTCCAGCTGGTCACATCTGGGAACATCTTCATGGCTGTGAAGGGCTCACTGTACAGTCAGATCCATGAGCTCTGAATTATTCTAGACAGAAGCAGGAGAAAAACAGAATTATAAGACAAAATTGTGAGCACACCCAGAAGTTTTTTAATTCTTTGGAGACTTTTCCTGGCTGACCTTATTTGTGGAAAGTTAGCCAAGTCAAGCATGGCAAGACTGATGCTGAGATGCCACGCTTTCCCAGATGAAACTGTCGTCATGATTTATGTAAATTCTGATCTCCCCCCCTACCCCCCAGTCCCCTTTTTGTTTAGTATGCATACAGGTCTCTCCACACCCCTTACGCTGTACTGGTGAGGGTTGGACAGGCTTAATTTCTGTGGGACAGGGGGGTAAGATGAGGTTGCTTCAAACACGACAACTGATGTTTGTACGAGTGAAGGTATTCCCTGTCTGCTGGCTCTTGGTCCCTCAGGGCTGGCAAGATTGAGAGTGTAATTCCAGTTCCAGGTAACTACTGTTGGGAGTGAGGGGTACAGAAAAATGGTAAGATATCTTCTCCTATTCAGTGCAGGGAAAACCTGAAATGCCCTGGTGATCTAGAGGCAGGTTCTGCTCCTGGAGGGAGACTTTAGACTGCCTTTAGCCTAGTTTAGGCGCTCAGGCAACCAGTCTCAGGTAGCCTTACAAGGCTGCTTTTGGTTGTTGCAAGCCTGTTCCCAGACATCTGTATGTGGCTTCACAACACTTGTCTATCTGTTCAGATTAAGAGGACTTTAGGTACTTGACAAAATGGATTGAGAGTTTTTTCCCCTTAAATTGAAGCAAGCACCCTTTTTCATGGGCAGCAGTGGCAGCTGGCTTTCCTGAAGGAGAGCCTTCAAACCGCTTGAGCAGCACAGCAGCAGTGTGTTATGTACAGAGCTGAGCAGGGGATGGTACTCACCAGAGCATGGGGAGATGAAAAAGGGAGAAGTATTCACATGAGCTTAGCCAGGGTGCTGGGAAAGCCTTCTAACTGACTGCTGTTGATGTCCTGAGGCCTGGGAAAGAAGAGGACAGGACAGTAATGGCATCACTGAGAGAGAAATTATTTTTTTTCCACTGCTATTTTGCTGAATTATGGGATTGAGAAGACAGCACAGTGATGTGCTACTGTGTGTGGTGTGGGCTGGATCTGGACAGGCTGTTCCTTACCTGCACCCTGGTTGCCCATGTAAAGGAAGGGATGGGTTATGGGGTCAGGTAAGAGCTTTATTCTGAGTGTACCTGAAAGATGATACTTAATCCAGTCACTTCACATCTGGAAGCCAGACAGCAAGAAGGATGTTGTCTTATTCCTCCAGTAAGCAGGTAATGAACTGATTCCTACCAACCTTTGGTTCTGCAGGATGGCTCCCAGAAAGTCTCTCAGTACCATCTGTTGGTGGTAGCGGCTGTCCATCAGGATGCTGTCAGACTGGCGCCTTGTCAGAAATTCATGCACCCCTTCTCCTGGGCTGCTCCCACTGCTGCTGTTAAGCAAAGATGAGAAATATCTTTGTTTCAGAGATGCTTTTTAGTCCCTCGCTCAAAGTTTGGCTTCAGCTGAGCAACACGGCAAAGGAACCTGCTGGGTCTGAGCCCGTGGCCATTCTGCTTAATTTCAGTAAGAAATTGGCCGGCTGCGTATTTGTTCCTGTGTTAGGAGAGGGATTGGAGCTGGCTCACATCTGACTGGTTGGTCTTATTTCATGGCAGTCACTGATTATCTAGCCAAATCTACCGGAGTGGTAGTAGAGAGGCTGTTTTTTTGTGTTCAGGCCAGGGATAACTGTTTCCTACTGGTGAATGATCATTGCAACTATTATTTGCAAATATTATTGCTTGTTGATATGGTAGGAGGAAAGGATTAATTAGGCTGCTTAGTGATAGTTGTGATTAGGGGAATTGGAGACATAGGGATGCAGGATGCCCTGAGGGATGTGGAACAGCAGGAGAGATTGCTTCTGATGCAGTAGAAGGCAGCTATTTCTGCTGCATGCAGGAAAGAAACTGCCCAGTGTAATATGCAGAACACTAGCCCTAGGACAGCAAAGCGCTGTGACCTACCCAAGCCGCTTGCCAATGATGGTCTGTAAGAATTTGCGGGCGGAAATCTGCCCCAGGAATTTCCGGTAGTTGTCGGTGAAGATGGCATCAGCATGGCGTGGCATCCTAGGGGTGAAAGACAAGCACAAGGTGTGCTCTGTGAGCTAGCGATTAACCTTTTGGGTGAGAAATGGATGCTTCAGATGTCAAAATACAGGAGATGTAGCACTGCTGAGATCAGGAGGAGGTTAACAATAGCAAACACTTTTTGGTGTTGGACTGCACTGGTGTTGGAGGGTAAAAGGATTCGAGGGAGCTCAGCCCTGACAGGGAAGCAGCAGGCAAAATAAAACGTCTGTTAATCAGTATCCACACTAAAGCCAGTAAAGAGAAGTGCCTGCAAACCAAAGGCAAGGTCAGAGAACCAGTGGAAAGGAGGAGAACAGCAGGCTAGGATAGGGCAGAGCTGGGACATTCCTGTGCTCTGCAGCAGCACTGTCACCTCCTGGGAGGTCTCTGGGATGGGGTGACTAGCCTCCAGCAGGTCTCTAGCCTGTGGTTAGACCCAGGCTCCTGAAAATTTGCGGGTGAGGGAAGCACAAGCCCCTTGGCTGGTCCCACTGCTGTATGGGTGAGTCCTCTGTGCTTCAGACAGAAATACCCATCCTCCATCTCCTGGCAGGGGTGGAAGGGAGAGGCTGCAGCAACCGCACAGATGGATTCCCAGAGCTCGGTGGGAAATGAGGTTCCCTGCAGGAGTGCTAGGCCTCTGACCCTGCCCCTGTCAGTATGTCCCTGCTGCTGGGGGACAGCAGGACGTGGCTCTGGACACAGGCGATGGTGGGAGCTGGCACGGTCCCAGCCTTCTGCTCCAGTGGCGGGGCTCAGCTGGGTTCTCCCCCTGGAGCTTGGATTTCTTGGTGCTGGTGGGACTAAGTGACCTGCTGGGCTGTTCCCAGGCTGGGGGAAGATTGCAGTGGGGCTGAGAGGTGAGGTCCAAACCTGTTCTCAGTGGGATCTGTTAACAAACCCTCCTCATCCTGTTCTTCTGCCGAGAGGTTGTGGCTCTGTAATGGGCTGCTGTGCTGTAGCTGGAAGTTCACGGCCTTGCTAGCAACCGGCCCAGGACTGTACCTGCAAGACAAACCCAAGGCATCCTGTGAGATGTGCTCAATTGCCAGGCAGGGATCAGTCTTCTTGACCACTATTCCCTGTTCCGCTTTTTCTTTCTTTTTGCCATCCTCATCTCATCGGTAACCCAAGTGTTCTCCATGACTCTCCCCCACTCCCTGGCTAGAAACTGCCCTGAAGCTATTTCAGCAGTGAAAAGATGGTTGGCAGAACTGCCACTTTCCCCCTCGTTGAGCTCCCAGCATCTTCGAGCAATTCCAGCAATTCTGGTATTGTTGGCTTTGTCACAAGGCTAAGGTGTTTTCTATGGGACATTGCAAAGCCACACTACAGAACCCAATGCTCGGTTTCGTGCTTCCACCAGTTTGCATTGGTAGGAAGTAATATTACAACTTCCAACAGTCGACAAGGAAATACTTGAGATATTTATAGGCAACTGTCAAGTTCATGTACTAGAATATCTGCAGTTCTGATTTCAATGCAGGTGGCCTGCAGGCACAAATTTTAATCAGTGATGGAGCTGGTGGTGCTGGCTGCTCGGGAGATTGCCAGATTTCCCTCTATAGGACCCAGCATTTAATTCCAAAACCAACTGCTTGGGATTAAATATTCCATGTCGGGTGCCTGCCTTCTTTGGAAACTGCCCCTAGGCTAGCAGTGTTCCCAAAAAATTAAGTCAGGGTAAAGAAATAGGTTTATCAGTGCACATACAGTTCTTCTGGCTTTCAGGAGTGCTAGCAACCTTAATTTGGCACGTGCTTATTTTGCACAAGGTTGGAGATGAGGCAGGGAGTGACTATGGATAGAACATTCAGCAGCTTACCTGAGAGCTGGGTAGAGAGGAGAGGAGATGGAGCATGTGACTAAATGCAGGAACAGGAGTATGGTGGCCTTATCCAGCATCTTCCACCCTTGGGGGTCACCTGAAATGCAGAGCAGTCTGAGTCAGCAGCAGTGAGATGTTCAGGGTCGGGAGGGGGGGGAGGCCAAGTGCCACCTTCATGTTCTTGGTCCCCTTGCTCACTTATCAGCACAAAGGGACGGGAAATGTGCTCCTTCAGTGTGTGCTTGGGGGGGGGTGGGGCTGGACTGAAATCTGTCCCTTTGGGAGAGCTGAACTGCTGCTGTGTCAAGAGATGCCTGCGCAGCTCTAAGCCCCGGCTTTGGGGGAAGGGGAGGTGGTCTTGAGCTGTGGGCGTCTGCCCTCTGACTGCGGCTGCAGTGCTTTGCCTGCTGCCAGTGACTCAGGACAGAGCCGGCTGAGGTCGCACACCCTCTGGAGCAGAACGCGATGCTTTTGTCATTGGAAGCAAGGGACAGGAGGAAGGTATTTCAGTGAAAGCTCTTCCTGAGTTTTGATTGAATGCAATTGATCTTTCACTCAAAAAAGATTCTTTAAGAATGTGGATAGAAATCTTTAAAATATCAAGCTTCCCTGTTCCCTGTCTTATTTTACACAAGAAAAGAGCAGAAAGATGTTTGATCTCCGTAATAGAAAAAAAACCCTTTAGAATTTTATTTTAAAAAAAACCTTTCCAATGTATTACAATACTCTGTTGCAAAAAGAGGAATTTCCAAATGGAAGGGGTTTGGTTGGGTTTCTAATTTCCCAAGCGAACTTTCCAAGCAGTGGGGTTTACTGATGGTGGTGGCAGGAGGGGGCCCGTTCCGACAGGAAACATCGGCAGTGAGCTCTAGTTTTCTGTTTCAACTTGGTTCCCCCTCTCTTGAAAGCTGATCAAAATACTGGGGGGAAAGCTAATTAAAGGACCAGTGCTCACGCGAGTGGGTCAGATCTTGATACCATGGAAGTTATTAGCAGAATTAGTGGCAGTGTCAGAAGTGTGTGGACAGACAGGGGAAAAGGTGGAGCACTAAGAAATGGGGTTTCTTATCACAACCTCATTCTCAGCCTGGTCCCTGTTTCCAGGTGCTCATGCTCCCAGCCGGGGGACCAGCAGCTTCCCCATTGTTTCCCCTGGGAGCAGCACCATTGCTCCTGGCTCCAGCAGAGCTTCTTGTGAACTCATGGGTGGCACCCTCCGCCTCCCATACCTGCTCTCTTATGGAATCGCTCTGGCCCCTCAGAGAGCTGAGGAATACTCAGAAGCAGCAAAAAAAGTTACTTTGAGATTTACAGGGCTTCTGGTTTTAGAGCAAATTTCCTGCTTTTTTTTTTCCTTTTTCATTTGAACTTGAAAAAGCGTTCCCCTCTTGTGCTTCTCCCCTAAATATCTTCAAGACAAATCCCAAGTCAGATCTTTCTAGACAGAGAAAATGATCTAAAGCATCTGCTCAGGGGGTACCAGGAGACTGTGGCACCAGCACCTGTAGAAAGTGCCAATCAGAAAAGCTGCTATGTGAGCTGAGAATTGAAATATCAGTGTAGAAGAAAACCTACCCCAATGCTGTCTGCTTCCCTTTTTTTCTTCCTAGGATACAGCCCTGATTACCACTTTCTTTCTGTATCTGGTTTCTCTTCTCTGAATGCTGGATTTTTCTCCAGAATCACTTCTTGTTCCTTTGAGATTTTTTTTTTCTTTCTCTACTATTACTTTCTTTGCAATTTGTTGTTGTTGTTGTTGGCTTTGCCTTTCTTCCCCTGTCTTGCTTTGTCTTCTCTCAACTACAGTCTGCTTCTCATCCCAGCTTTTTGGGCATTTCTGTCTCCCTTTTTCCCTCGGGAAGGACTCTGAAATGAAAGTCCTACCCCTTTCCCAGAAATATCTGCTATTTCAGAGGACAAGCCGGGGAACTGAAGTCTCACCCTGCACACAGGCAGCTTGACAGCTCTGCAGAACCTTGTCACCTTCGAAATTCTCCTGAGGTGAGGGACACCTTACTTTCCATTCTGGCAGCATGTGGCAAAATGGTTAATAAATACATTCCCCTTAAGATTAAGAGCTTTTAGTGCCATTCCAGCAGATAAAGCGTAATAGCTTCACTCCATCCTGCACAACGCTAACCGCAGCACTGTGACTATGATGTTGGAGAGATGGGGTAACCGTCTCTATACTGTTTCTGAACCCAATCACTCCTAAAAAAACTACTATGTAGATGAAATGAAGCTTCTACCATCCCTGTGGTTTTATAAAGGTCAGACGTTTATACTATGAAATACTACATTAGAAAAGCAGAAATCCTTTCAAGTGCCTTACTCTGCCTCGTTGTAGCTGGCTTCACATTGTCTGTAACACACCGTTGCTTTTCTCCTCACACTTTGGTCTGGCTCAAACACAGATTTATTGACAGGTGAGTAAAACAACGTTCATTTTCTAGAGTAAAAGCAACTTGCATTTGTATAGCAAAAGAGGCAAACTGTGCTACAGGTAGTAAGCGTCTAACATGTTTTACAAGGCTCACCTGTAGCAGTATTCTATTGATTTACACTTATCCTATAGTTCAATTATTGTTTCATAATAAGTCGGTACAAAAAAATCTTGTATAGTATAAAGGATGTTGTACCTGGCAAAGCTAATTACTGATGCCAGCTTTGACTGCATTTCAGTATAACTTGTCTCCAATTTCTGAATAATCGTTATCTTATTAAAGGCACATACAGAGACACTCACTTACCGTTCCTTCAGAAAACAAATGCTTCCTCGATCGTCTCCTGCCCAGGTGTTTCCTTGCCCTGTTGTGAATACAACTTCTTCTCTGGAGCCGTTTCTCTGAGCCCTGCTGGGTCTGTCCCCTCCCGGTGCCAGGGCAGGACCCGGACGCGTGCTGAGCCGGGTGGACACTCGGCTCTCCCCAGCTGTCCTCTGGCTGCCAGGGAGGTGCAGCTCCTCTTTTATACCTGTGCTCCCTCAGGAGTCCTGTGGGCTTCTACGCGTCAGAGAATCAATTATCCTCCTGAATTTCAAAGGCTGTGTTCAGCATCCTCCTTTCTGTGTGTGTGAGGACGCAGGCAGGGAGATTGTGGGCAGAGGGTTATGCCTGTAGTTGAGGGTCATTCCCATGCTCTCCTTATCGTTCAAAGAGTGAAGAGCAAATAATAACAATGATAATCTGGCAGGGTTAATGACGGATTTGCTTTGCAAGGTAAACTTCTCTTTCCTTTTGCAATTGCATTTTTTCCTCCTACTCCACAATGAGAGAGTTAACCATTAATACTTTCTCACACTGCCTGCTCAGGAGGGTTTATCTTTTTGCCATTTTCTTTTTGATTATCAGCCTTTTCCTCCTTCTCCTCTATTACTCACACCTGCTAGCGTTAGTGGGGCAGTTCATGCTCCAGTCCCTCGCAAGCATCACAGCTTCACACGAAGCACACAAAGCAGCCGGCGAGCCCTGCTCCATTCATGTGCTCTGGAAAAAGGAAGGGTCCTCCCTGGCGTGCTGCGTGCGCTGGCAGCTGGTTTCATTCCTGGAACAAGGTTTATGAAAGCCCCATTAAGAAGAACACTTAGCCTTAGTGTCAATAAGACCAGGACCATTCAGAGGAGTTAAAAATGAGGTGCCAGCATGAGTTCCACCTGCCAGATTTTTAGTATTGACTTTATAATGCTCAGAATTGATGGGGACCCAGACCTTCCTGTCTCGGGGCTTGTGTGACTTGATGCTGGGAAAAAGTTTCAGCAGATGAGATGACGCATACCTCCCTGCTGCCAAATGCCTTCACCTTGCACCAGAGTGCTTGTCACAGCTATTGGGGGCAGAGGTGGATCGTTGGGAAGGACAGTGCATCTGGTGTGCATGTGGGTACCTGCACGGGCAGGGGGTTGGCTCACTTGTTGGTGAAGCAATATCCTCCTTCCAAGCTGTGGGCTCTCAAGAAGCACCAACCAACCATGTGGAAAGGCTTGAGCAAGCTCAGCACGCCAAATGACTCCATGGTGTTAAATCACAGTTGCTCTGTACCTGGACAGATGTGCACCGATGCCTTTGGGTTCTCCCTGCTTTGAGTGCTTCAGGGGCTCACGTTCTCTTTGGTATCAAATCAGGACCAGACCACTTTATAGAGAAATCATGAAATAGGATTGAATGGACCAAAGCAGGATCTGGAGCTGACCCTGAACTGAGCAGCTGACCAGGGCCCTTCTAGTGGAATCAAGAAACAACAACAACATGAGGAGAAGCAAGAACTACTGCGTTCCTCCAGCTGTCAAAAGAAACAGCACCAGCCCGTTCACAGGGAGACGAGCTGATGTGCAAATCGGGCAGGTATATCTCTTGTACCATCTACTCGTGAACACTGGAGAAAGGGATTTCTAGGCAGCACAGGGCAGGTTTTCGAAAGTCCCTTTACTGGTGCACACAGCTGCACACTGTCTCTGCAAACTGGAAGGGCATTTTCCTTTGCTTTTTGAAGCAATCTGTTCATGTTCTCTCATGTGTGAGGCCAGTTGCACCAATTTTTCAGCATGACTTCTTTTTCTTCCACTGGCTTGGTGCTAGGCTAGCTGAACAGATGAATCAGACCATGCTGTTAAACCAGTCGAGAGCCTACGCTGTTTCAGGGTATTATCCCATAGCATGGTTTTGAGCTAATTCTCTATCTGCCTGGCCCACGGCCTTATGCAGAGCTGCTGTACGACACTGGCCAATACTGCTCAGATCAAGGGGAATCAGTCTATAATTGATTTGTTTATAGCTGCCTGCTGCCCAGCTCGGATTAGGTGAGAGCTGTGGTCCGCATTCATATCTCAAGTGAGCTGCTTCCAAAGGCTACAGAAACCTTCATCGTCCTCGGGGTTTCCTTGCTGTGCCTGGGCTGGGTTCCTGTCATGCACAGCTGGACCCAGCAAGACTCCCTCAACAACAAGCTCTCTTTATGACTTCAGATTAATTGCAGGAAGCAGCAGAAATTTCTAAAATCCCTCCAGGCTCTGTCGGGTGTATACAGGGTAGGAGTTCTGAAATAGTATAAATAGAGCAGCTTTTCTGTCCCTGAGCTTTCC